AATGTGACATTGATCTCCAAGCACTGTTCTCCTGCTCTGGAATATCTTTTCATTCATTGTAAACCGTTCTACTCCCCACGTGAGTTTGTTTAATTCATTCTTGCCTCTGTTTACATACCACCATCCGCGGACGCGCGTGAGGCTCAGTGCGTGCTGGCAGAGCAAGTACTGTGTATGGAGCGTTCAAACCCGGACTGTCTGATTATTATCCTGGGGGATTTTAATAAGGGAAACTTGAGCCAGGAATTACCCAAATACAGACAGTTTATCAAATGCCCGACCAGAGAGGAGAACACTGGATCATTGTTACACCACTGTGGGCGGAGCTTACCGCGCTCTTCCCCACGCAGCCCTCGGCTTGTCAGACATCAAAACAATCCAGAGAATGGCACAAACCAAGCCGCGCATTCTCCACCAAATCTATGTTAGGATTTAGCAGACAGAGACGGATCGTGGTGTGCCAAACTCTGGAAGTTTATTTAAGTTTCTCTCAAGTTCCACTGGTTTACTCTGTTTCTTTCCCTCAGACAGAATAAAGGCAGTGCACAGTTTATATAGTCATTGTCACGTCACACATCGAAAGACATACGTGTCACAAAGAGACAGTCAAATCATAGTCATAACATGGAGTCCTTGTAGAGTCCTTGTACAGTCCTGCACGTAGGCCATATTGCTATCTAATACTAACACATCTCTTCAAGACAGTGTATCTCGGCGTTACACCGGACCCGGGGAACACCGGACCCGGGGAACATCGGACCCGGGGAACATCGGGCCGACCCCGGATATCCAACTTCACCGCGGTTTCTCAGACCACTCCATGATACATCTGGTTCCTGCTTACAGACAGAGACTGAATCTATCCAAACCTGTAGTGAAGAGCTCCAAGGTGTGGTCTGATGAGGCTGTGGTGGAGTTGCGCTCATGCATGGAATCTACAGACTGGGACATTTTCAGAGCTGCCACAGACAGTTTGGATGACTGCACGGACACTGTGACATCCTACATTCACTTCTGTGAGGACAGCATAATTCCAACAAGGACCAGGGTCATCTACAACAACAACAAACCCTGGTTCACTGCTAAACTCAGGCAGCTCAGAAAAGCAAAGAAACTCTGCTTTCAGGGAGCGGGACCGCACCGGCTACAAGGCAGCTAAATATCAGTTCAGGAATGAACTGAAAGCAGCTAAGTTCCGGCACGGAGAACGACTGCAGGAGCAGTTTGGAAACAACATTACTGCTTCTGTCTGGAGGGTCCTACAGCAGATCACCAACTACAAGCCCAAAGCCCCCCTCTGTGCTGACGACCACAAGCTTGCTGACGACCTGAACCGGTTTTTCAGCCGCTTCGACGCTGCCTCGGACACCTCCCCCACCCCCCACTAGTCTAACGACCCACTCATCAGCTCTGCCCCCACCCTGACAATAGCCTCAGAAGACATCAAACGTCTCTTCTTGAGGCTACACCCCCGCAAAGCTCCTGGCCCGGACCATGTGTCTTCTGCCACTCTGAGACACTGCTACAGTGAGCTAACTCCTGTCTTCACTGACATTTTCAATACCTCTCTGCAGTCTTGCCATGTCCCGGCCTGCTTCAAATCCTCCACCATTGTCCCCGTCCCGAAGAAGCCCAGGCTGGGGTCCATCAGGACTAGTACCTCCCGCCACAAGAACAGTTTCTTCCCCTCTGCTGTTAGACTCTTGAACACTTGAACGCTTCTTAACCTGTCCCCGCCCTCTAGAAGTCCCCTATACTGCTCCTTATAAAGTCACTTTACTTCACTGTACTGCTGTCACCTTATGTAGCATCGAGGGTCTTACTACCACTAGACACTTATTCACTACCTCATGCCAACTGCAACGCCACCCTATTGTTTATTTAAGGTATAGGGAAGTAAGTAAGTAAGTAAGTAAGTAAAGTTTATTTATAAAGCGCTTTTCACAGATAAAAATCACAAAGTGCTGTACAGGACAGTGGGCAAATACAAAACAATATAAAATACACTTACACACATTACACATTTTATGTACTTAAAAGTGACATCAGTGAGAACCCAATCAACTAAAAGCTTTCTTAAATAAATAAATAAGTCTTCAAGCCTTTTTTGAAAGAGTCCGCAGAGTCGACCAGACGTAGGGACAGGGGCAGGGCGTTCCACAGTCTGGGGGCAACAGACTGAAAAGACCGGTCCCCTCGAGTCTTATAATGGGTTTTGGGGACCACAAGCAGGTTCTGGCCAGAGGACCGGAGAGAACGGCCAGAGGAGTACAGGCTCAAAAGGTTCAGGATGTACTGGGGGGCCTGACCATTTAAGGCTCTGAAGGTCAGCACTAAGATCTTAAAATCAATCCTGAATTTGACTGGGAGCCAATGAAGAACAGACAGAACAGGAGTGATATGGGACCTACGAGGGGCACCTGTTAAAAGTCTAGCAGCAGAATTTTGAACAATTTGAAGTTGATTGAGTGCAGACTTATTCAAGCAGGTAAAAACAGAGTTGCAATAGTCAAGTCTTGTTGAAATAAAAGCGTGAATGATCATTTCCAGATCATTCTTTGACAACATATTGCGGATTTTTGCAATGTTCCTAAGGTGATAAAAGCAGTTACGGACGAGCTGTTTGGAGTGTGTCTCCATAGACATGGCCTGGTCAAACACAACCCCTAGGTTTCTGAGGCTGGATTTGACGGAGGAGCCAAGAGAGCCAAGGTGCTGTTTGATCAGCGGGATCTTATGGTCTGGAGCAAAGATGAGCGTTTCAGTTTTGTTGGAATTTAACTGTAAGTAGTTAGTGGCCAGCCAGTCTTTAATGGAGGACACACACTCCAAAAATGATGACAAGCGCTGGAACTCAGAGTCATTAAAAGAACAGTACAACTGGACGTCATCGGCATAGAAATGGTAGGATACATCCTCGAAGTGATTAATAATTTTACCAAGTGGCAAAATGTACAATAAAAACAAAATCGGACCCAAAACTGATCCCTGTGCCACTCCGCAGGACAGATTAGTCACATCTGACTGTACATTGTTTAAAGCAACGTTAAAAGTTCTGCCATGGACATATGAGGAGAACCACTGGAGGACAGACCCAGAAAGCCCTATCTCATTTTGAAGCCGGTCAATAAGTATATTATGATCCACAGTGTCAAAGGCAGAGGACAAATCCAGAAGTACAAGAACTGTGTAGCGTTGGGAATCGGCTGCCATCATTACATCACTAGAAACTTTGATAAGAGCTGTTTCAGTGGAGTGTAGTTTACGAAAACCAGACTGAAGTGGATCAAACAAATTGTGCTGTTCCATAAAGGAGGTCAGCTGGCATGCCACTACTTTTTCCAGAATTTTGGAAATAAAAGGAAGTTTGGAGATGGGCCTGTAGTTTTTAGGTTCTGAAGGGTCCAGATTGGGCTTTTTAAGGATTGGGTTTACCACAGCATGCTTGAAGTAGCTGGGGACTGAGGCAGATGAAAGAGAGAGGTTAATTATTTTAACCACACAGGAGCCAACAGTACTGAACATTTTCAAAAATAGTGACGTTGGGACAATGTCAGCCGGGCTCGAGGAAGGCTTCATGTTATTCACTGAAGTGTTCACATCCTGTAAGCTGACAGGAGAGAAGGACGACCAAGATGACACCGGGGACAACTTAGTGGAACAAACACTGGTTAGGGGAAGATTCACGTTTGCCCTAATGTCTTGAACTTTGTTTACGAAGAATGACAAAAATTTATTACAGTCCTCATGTGAGTACACAGGCACAAGAGGAGCTGAAGGTGCAGAAAGATTTTCAATGGTGTCAAACAGGATTTTTGGATTTTTCTTATTGCCTGACACAAGGTTTGAAAAATAAGATGAGCGAGCCTGCTTTATCATTTCATTCAGTTCCAGCATCAGGTCTTTTAAATGAAGTCTATGTACTTCTAATTTGGTGGCTTTCCAAAGACGCTCTGTCTTCCGACATTTTCTCCTAAAACTACAAATGTCATCATTCATCCATGGATGGGCTTTTTTATGTGATCCTGAAATATCTTTAACAGGTGCTACCAAATCCAAAATAGACACACAGTGGCTGTTGAAACTTTGCACAAACGAATCAACATCATCACAAACAACAAAGGAGCGAGGGTCAAATCGGACAGAGAAATCACTAAATGTTGTCTCACTAATGATGCGTTTTTGTGTAACAACATTGGAGACAGTTGGCATCATGACGCGTGACAGAGTGAAGGAAATGCAACAGTGGTCACTAATATGAAATGCATCAACACTCATATTTTCAATGTTTAGGCCACATGAGAAGACGAAATCTAGCGTGTGACCTTTTATGTGCGTGGGGCCAGAAACGTGCTGTACAAAATTGAAAGAGTCCATGGTCGTTAACAGTTCAGCTGCAATCACACAAGAGGGATCGTCGATATGGAGATTAAAATCCCCAAGGACTAAAACGCGATCTAGTTTGATAATGGATGTTAAAAACTCAGAGAATTCATCAAGGAATGTGCGCGCAGTACCAGGAGGTCGGTAAACTAAGACACAGTAAAAGGGGAGAGTTTGTCCAACCTTGCACATCTGTAGCTCGAAGGAGTCGTATGAAGCTCCATCCATCAAACTGCAGCAGAAAGAGTCACGAAAAACCAGCGCCAGTCCGCCTCCACGGCGCGCGAGGCGAGGACTCCCAAACACGGAGCAGTCCGGGGGGCATAGTTCTCTCAGATGAAGGTGCTCGTTCTCCCGTTGCCAAGTCTCCGTTATGAACATAAAATCCAAGTTCTCTTTAGTGAAGTGGTCGTTCAGTGTAAACGCCTTGTTTGCAATAGAGCGCGCGTTGAGAAGAGCAATCCTGGTGGCGCGCATCCGTGACGCGGGCTGGCCTGGGACGGGCTGGATGGCATGATCCGTCTGGCAGGTAACCGGGCACAAGACGCGCTGGCGGGGGGCATGATGGTAAACAGCTCGGGTGGGAAAGAGCCGGTCGGAGGTGCTCCACACGAGCGATGACACACAAGCCGCGTCCCGAACTGGCGCGCAGACCGGAACCGGCCTCAGGCACCGCTCACTCCAGGGAGATTTGGGTCCGTTCAGCCCGGGTGAAGATCCAAGCGATGACCACCTTCTCCTCCGGACTTGGACCCCAGCCCTGGATCCACGCTTCCTTCTCCTTCCGCGGCGCCGGGTAAGCAACGGGTATTCCGGTGGTGACGCATGGCGCTCCAGTTTTGGAGGGAAAAACTCAGAGAATCTGTGCCGGGTAATGCAAATGTCCTGCATAAGAGCCTTAATGTGGAACAATGTGTGCCGATCATACTGTATGATGGCGGAAACATAGCTGGTAGTTGATAGGGTTGACACAAGGAACATCACAAGAAAGATTGCAAATGTACGAGAGAGCAGACAGGTAAGCGACGCGCAGCCAGACACAGGCGCCATCTTTACTGCCGCCCCTCTCCTCCTGGGGAAACCCAATTTCTCCCGCAAATAAAAAAGGACACAGGTTCGGAGGACATTGAGGACAGAGACAATAATTCATAGAAAACATAATTTATTATAATTTAAATTGGTTAGATCTAATTAAAATAAGTTTCTGTATCAGACATGGAGTTATGCCAGGCACAGTCTGGATCCGTACACGTTGTTGGTCCACACAAACTTCACTCAGGAATGGGACATGAAGGGGTGAAGAAGAGGCTCGTGCTGATCCTGAAAGTATTAGTCGAGGTTACTCTCCATGACCCGCTCACCCTCCACCACTACACTATCACACTTACATTCATCTTGTTACTCTACGCATCTCATCACAACGAGTGGAAAGACCCCAAGGTCTCTCACCAAACTGTAAACAATAAGGCTGTTTGTACACAATACAAGTTGCGCAAACAGCATATACGTTTGGTGGCTTACCATATATGAAAGCATGTTAGCACCAATACCGATCAATGCGCCCAACCCACACGCGAGCGCACAATCCAGTGGATCCAGCCAGTTTGGAGACACGAGTACCTGCGGCACAGCGCGCTACCATGCTTGTTGACGTCAGAGGTGAGCGAGGGTGGGTCCGACAACGTCAGCCCTTTTTTATACGCTGCTCACCTCTGCTAAATAAATAAATAAAAACAGGTGGACAGTAGACCACACTGCTACACTTACATTGTGTGCACCATGTGCACTGTATATTGTATATAGTGTCAGGGATGAAGCAGACAGAGACGGATCGTGGTGCGCCAAACTCTGGAAGTTTATTTAAGTTTCTCTCAAGTTCCACTGGTTTCCTTTGTTTCTTTCTCACCAGACAAAATAAAGGCAGTACACAGTTTATATAGTCATTGTCACGTCACACATCGAAAGACATACGTGTCACAAAGAGACAGTCAAATCATAGTCATAACATGGAGTCCTTGTAGAGTCCTTGTACAGTCCTGCACGTAGGCCATATTGCTATCTAATACTAACAATAGTAATTGTAACTCTATTTTAAATTTGTATCTTAAATTTATTAAGTGTTTTTTATTCTTTATTTTTATTATGCCCTCTCTACCCTTACCTCTCTTTCTGACTGTTGCACCGAGCCAAAGGAATCTCCAACTCTGTGACTTCCTGTTGCTTACGTGGCAATAAAAATGATTCTGATTCTGATTCTGAAGACAGGGTCAGTTGACAGATTTAATATGGCATCAGACATGGTTGTTTACACTGCAACAAAGCAGAAAACAAATTGAAGATTAAAAAACAAACAATGAAACTAAAATGGGAATCCAACTAACTGAAACTCAAATGACGCATGCTGAGCCATAGCCTGGATGGAAATGAAAAAGGGAAACAATGGGCTTCCAGGGCTTAAAATGGCTGCCTAATTGCACCCAGGTGTGTAGGTGTGGGAGGGCGGGGCCAGCAGAGGGGTGTGTTTGAGGGATTTCTCACAATTTTCTACCTCTTTATTTTTCCACTTCTGGGTTGGGGTGGCAATCAGAGCTCCCACCCAAGTCTCATACAGTAGCATCAGTCCCTCACTGATCCTCCTGCAGGTGGTGGGTCCACGGGAAGATGGCTTCTCTGGCTAGTCATCGACTAGATGGCCTTGGTCTTTCAGCGGGGGCTTCGGGCAATGTGAGGTTATGTGTCTTGCCCAGGGACACAACGACAGCAGACATCAGTGGGAGCTGGTGACATGGGCCGTGGTGGGCTCGAACTCATGACCATTAGGTCCCAAAGACCAGTGCTCTACCAACTGAGCTACTGTCATAAAAGAAAATAAAAAAAAATCTCACCTTTTGCCCTCCGTGGGCGGTTATCCCTCTCTAAGTTTGGGTTCTCTACCAGAGGCCTGGGAGCTTGAGGGTTCTGCGCAGTATCTTTGATGTTCCTAGCACTGCACATTTCTGGACCGAGATGTCCGAGGTTGTGGGAGGGGGATCAGCTGTAACCACTCTTCTAGCTTCGGGGCCACTACTGTCACCTTTACCCTCCAGGCCCTCTCCAGCTTCTCTCTGAGACCTTGGTATTTCTCAAGCTTTTCATGTTCCTTTTTCCGGATGTTAACATCGCTTGGAATTGCCACGTCCACCACCACGGCTGTCGTCTGCCTTTTGTCCACCACGATGTCAGGTTGGTTCGCCATTACCATTCGGTCGGTCTGTATCTGGAAGTCCCACAGGATCTTCGCACGCTCATTCTCCACCACCTTTGGAGGAGTTTCCCACTTAGACCTTGGAGTTTCCAGCCCAAAACTCTGCACAGATGTTTCTGTACACTATGCCAGCCACTTGGTTATGGCGTTCCATGTAGGCCTTCTCTGCCAGCATCTTGCACCCTGCAGTTATGTGTTGGATCGTCTCAGGTGGCTATTTGCACAACCGACACCTTGGGTCTTGTCTGGTGTGGTATATCTGGGCCTCTATCGCTCTGGTGCTCAGCGCCTGCTCCTGTGCAGCCATGATGAGTGCCTCTGTGCTGTCCTGTAGGCCAGCCCTTTCTAGCCATTGGTAGGACTTCTTGAGATCAGCCACTTCTGTTATGCTCCGGTGGTACATGCCGTGTAGGGGCTTGTTCTCCCATGATGGGCTCTCCTCCAGCACCTACTCATCTCGCCACTGCCATCTCAGCTATATGAACAGCAAAGATACTGCGCAGAACCCTCAAGCTCCCAGGCCTCTGGTAGAGGACCCGAGCTTAGAGAGGGATAACCACCCGCAGAGGGCCAAAGGTGAGTGGACAATTTTTTTTTTAAATTATGTATATATATATATGTAACTTTCTTAACCTTTGAATAAACAAGAAATAAATAAATTCAGACAGAAAATAAGCTTTATAATTTAGTTATATATATACTGTATGTATTAAATCTTATGTCTCATGAGATTTTTGTCTTTGCAAGAGTCAACACCTTGCAGGCCACACTGCGGGTACTCATGTACATCTTCATTGGACGGTTGAACAGGTCCTTCAATGAAATAGTTGTGTCATTGGTTGATATCCGTTGTAGTGCGGTCCGTTATCAGTCGAGGATGTGGGCGCACTGGTGTAGTTGTCTTCTGTCTTTTTAACTTGTATGTCTTGTCCTTTTTTTGTGTGTGACAATGTTGGACCATGAGTAATAAAAGCTTCATTCATTCATTCATTCATTCTTATAATTTGTAGTGTTATCTAAATACATATTTGCAGATTGTGACATCCATCCGTCCATTTTCTTTCCATGTATTTACTTATTCATTTATTATTTTGAAAGTTTTGGTCCCCCATACTGGACCGCCATAACCACCATACTGCCAAATAACTACCTATTCACACATATTTACAACAAAATGCTTTTGGTATTAGTCCCTTTTTACGTGGGTTCACCTAAACATATGCAACTATATAACTATTCTCAATAGACTCATCTCCATCAATCTGTCATAACCTGTTTCAATGGGCACATACCCACCTCAAAGGTGTTCCATATCATGACGCAGATTGGACAAAATTACTATAGATAGATAGGTTGGTAGGTAGGTAGATACTTTATTGATCTACCGTAGGAGGATCTGCAGGGGATCTGGGGGGACAGCATCAGATCTGACCACCATTTGCTTCACACAGTGCACCTCCTTTATAGAGTTGATCATATTGTTGATTGTGGAATGATCTTTCATTCATCTTCAACAAAGTTGCTGTATATTGACAGAAACTGGAAATTGGTGACATTCTCAGTGAGTAAAATAGTAAATTGACAGTAGCATAAAGGATGGGTTGTCACTGCAAAAGAAAAATAGCTCACTGAAACAGATTTAGGCTGATTTGTAGAAATCGTTATTATACACTTAATCTGTATTGTCCCCTGACTATGTCTGTTCATGGACTGTCACCAGTATTATTCTGAGAACCTAAACACATATATTCCTCGATAGACACTATCTCATCCCTTGTTGTTAAGAAAAGAATCATCTGAAGACGACATGAAGATCTTCATTTTCATGCCCCTTCATCAAAAACCACAAACACATACGCTGCATATACTTGTATATAGTATATCTTAAGAAATGTTATGAGATTTTTTGCATTATTTCTTTTTTGTATGCATGCCTTATAACTATTTTCACTTGTATAACTTGTTTGCAACGAGGGCCAAACGTTATTATTATAATAGATCCATGGGGCCAAACTAAAGCAATTTCCTAGTTTGTGACTTCCTTATACTTACTATTAAGTTAATGATAAATGATTCTTCAAGATGGCGCCTCGTACGGTCGACATGGCTCTTTGCTGCTCTCTTTTTCTTTTGTTTTTACTTTTTAACTGTGCATCTGGCTGTTCCTACACCCGTGAGAATTTTTCCCCCCCTCCTGGACCCCCTGCAGTTCGCCTACAGAGCCAACAGATCTGTAGACGACGCCATTAACCTGGCCCTCCACCACATCCTACAGCACCTGGACTCCCCGGGGACCTACGCCAGGGTCCTGTTCGTGGACTTCAGCTCTGCCTTCAACACAATCCTGCCATCCCTGCTCCAGGACAAGCTCTCCCAGCTCAACGTGCCCGATTCCACCTGCAGGTGGATCACTGACTTCCTGACGGACAGGAAGCAGCGAGTGCGTCTGGGGAAGAATGTCTCGGACTCTCGGATTATAAATACAGGAGCCCCACAGGGCTGTGTTCTTTCTCCCCTGCTCTTCTCCCTGTACACCAACCACTGCACCTCCAGCCACGACTCCGTGAAGCTGATCAAGTTCGCGGACGACACCACCCTCATTGGACTCATCTCCAACAACGATGAGTCCGCCTACAGGAGGGAGGTGGACCGGCTGGTGTCCTGGTGCAGTGGTAACAACCTGGAGCTGAACGCCCAGAAGACAGTGGAGATGATTGTGGACTTCAGGAAGAGCACTGTCCCCCCGCCCCCACCCTCCGTGATGGACTCCCCCATCACCTCTGTGGAGTCCTTCCGTTTCCTGGGCACCACCATCACCCAGGACCTCAAGTGGGAGCCGACCATCAGCTCCCTCATCAAGAAGGCCCAGCAGAGGATGTACTTCCTGCGGCAGCTCAGGAAAGCCAAGCTGCCTGCACAGATGTTGGTGCAGTTCTACACGGCCATCATCGAGTCCATCCTCACCTCCTCCATCACCGTGTGGTTCGCTGGAGCCACAGTCAGGGACAAACAGAGACTACAGCGCATTGTGCGCTCTGCAGAGGAAGTGATCGGCCGCAGCCTTCCATCGCTGCAGGACCTGTACGTCGCCCGAGCTCGAGGCCGGGCTGGTCGTATCACAGCCGACCCCTCTCACCCTGCACATGGACTATTCCAACCACTCCCCTCAGGCAGGAGGCTGCGGTCCATCAGGACTAGAACCTCCCGCCACAAGAACAGTTTCTTCCCCTCTGCTGTTGGACTCTTGAACACTTCTTAACCTGTCCCCCCGCCCTTTATAAAGTCACTTTACTGCCCATCATACGTCACTTTACTTCACTGTACTGCTGTCACCTTACATTGTGTGCACCATGTGCACTTGTATATTGTAAATAGTAACTGTAACTCTATTTTAAATTTAAATTTATTCTTTAGAAGTGTTTTTTATTCTTATTTTTATTATCTCTTTTCGACTGTTGCACTGAGCCAAAGCAATTTCCAAGTCTGTGACCTCCCGTTACTTACGTTGGCAATAAAAATGATTCTGATTCTGATTCTGATGATTCTGATTATAAAATTGATGACGCGTGCTGTGGGGGCTGTCCCACGGCCTGTACGTGATGACGTAGCCGCAGGACTTTCTTGCCCTGCCCTTGTCTCTCGGAGCTTCCTCACATTCTTTGGTTTTCAGAGTGTCTGGATACACCTCAGCCAAAATAACCATGGTAGGTCGTTCGATTTTCACTAATAACATGAATCACTATTACAATTCAATATCAAGTTTCTTACTCCAGATTTAGCAATACAGAAGTGTAGTTTTGATGCATTATTCTGCATCGCCCTGTCTACTAGCGGCTTGCTAGCGGAAGTGGAAGTTCACTTAGGTTAAAGCTACACTTTACACTGCGAAAACAATGTGTGATACATACATTGATTGTATTTTCTACCTAACGTGACATTTAACACATTGTTGCTCTAAGTTGTACTACTTGGTTACATGGTTACTTGTTTGTTGAGTGCACCGTGTACGAGCATTTATTTTGTCCTTTTTCTTTTTGATCAGTCTGACTTCTCTGAAGATCAAATCCTTGGTAAGTGTAAAACGTCCCACTTCTTCCTTTATGCATGCCACACTCCTGATTTTGCCCTTCTCTCACTGCTCTGCTGTCTACGGCTAAGCCTTATATGCAGTTTTTTGGGTTAACTTCTGCCACTGTTTCTCCTTTCCCACCCTCTTGCACATGCTTGTTCTTTTCAGATTGAAATAAACGCGGATCAGATCCATGGTAAGTCTGAGCAGGTCCATGTTAGTGAAACCTTTTATGGTCATCTTGGTTTGGGTGTGATCAGCATGTTGGCTTGATAGCTGTCAGTCTGTTGGAGATAAAACGAACGTAATTTAACGTGAATTAAATCCTAATCATTGGCTGTGTGTTGCACTGTGTTTGTGGTCAGTCAGACGTAGGGTCCCAACAGGGTTTTTCGGCCTGTTTGTGAGTGCTACTGCCTTCGTCTGTTTGCTATAAACTTTGCCTGTTCTCTTTGGAGCGTTCATCTGAAGTCTGTCCTTTTTTGGTGCTGGATGGATACAGCTGTTGTTGGTTTTTGTCAAAGGGCTGGTTTGTTTAATCACCACTGACATAATGGGCTATAGCTACTCTCACTCTCCTCCTACTTGCTTCCTCTCCTCTAATACCAAATATGGTGCTTGGAGTAGTACTAACATGCCACTAGGGAAGTTGTGCATTCCTGAGAACGGGAAAAGTCCACAACCTTGTGTTTCTGGAGCCACTCCAGATACAGAAGCCACTCTATTGTACGGTTGTGGTCAGATCTGATCTTTCAAAGGTTATTTGGTTCATATTCCTGCTCTTCCACAGAACTTTGTATCAAATAATGATATTGAAGGATGTCTGGAGTAAGGGTGAATTGAATATTAAATGATGATTTAGTAACTGGTGTTTTGAGAAATAAAACTAATTCTGTGCATATAGGTTTATTGAAAATGGCTAATTACAATTGGGGAAAACGGTTTATCATAACCAAATAAGGATATTTAAGTGATGTCTTTTCACATCTATAATAGTAGCAGCCAAAAGTTGAACACAAGTCTGAGAAACAATACTGTAAATCAACTTAAAATATATTATTTGATAATAACATTTTAAATCTTATGCAAAGATACGAAACATGCACAAATTTGGCATGAAATTGTGATTGGATATATTTTTTTTCATTCTTGAAAGAATAATCACTCATAATTATCTGAATAATTGTTAGTTACAGCTCTAAAACTAACTATTCGAGTATTCAGGTACAAGGAATCCATTCAAATCACTTGTTTTTTTCAATAATATTTGCAATATATATTTTTTCTTCATCACAAAAGGTCTCGATGAAGTTTGTATTGTCATTTGGTTCTCAATTGTAAAGCAGTCTAACCAACTGTTCATCTGAGGAATATTTCATCCTTTCTGACTTCACTGACTATGTTTTAAACTCAACAGGAGCTCACTCTAACCTGAGTGTGTAGATCATAATGAGCTGCTCTAAACGTGCTGTGTAAACATGAACCACCTGTCCCATGTAACTGCACAAAGCAGAGACGTAATCATATTCTGCAGACTTGCATCAGCTGTAACATTCTCATTGACACAGGAAGATATTCTTTCCTACACCTTGGAAAATTACAATTGAGCAATTGAATTTGATTTCAATCATATACATTTACTTAATATACATTTTCGATACAAAGTAAATATTAAACCAGTTCCACTTGAGACTGTTTCTTTCGTTCTTAAAAAATAAATACATACATTCTGATAGTGCAGGCTACGATAAGTTCCTGACTTGATTACCCAGTAAGTGTTGATGAGGTTTACAACCTATTCTACCCCTATCTTATCTGTGTTTGCTTTTGTTTCTTACTTAAATCAGTATTTCTGGTGTTTCATTTATTTGTGTTTCTATGTTTATTTAACAGAGTACAAGGAGGCATTCCTGCTGTTTGACAGGACTGGAGATGGAAAGATCAGCTTCTCTCAGTGTGGGGACGTCATGCGTGCCCTGGGGCAGAACCCTGTCAACGCAGAGGTCCTCAAAGTGCTGGGGAACCCCAAGGCTGAGGGTAAGGGAACAACATATACAGTACTTCTGAAAGTTCTTGTTCATATCTGTTGATAATAAACCATATGGCTGATGAAAGCTCCACATGTTTCCGCAGAGATGAATATCAAGATGTTGGACTTTGAACAGTTTTTGCCCATGTTCCAAGCCATTGCCAAAAACAAGGATCAAGGTTCCATGGAAGATTTTGTTGAGGGACTGAGAGTCTTTGACAAGGAGGGAAATGGAACAGTAATGGGGGCTGAGCTCCGCCACGTTCTTACCACGCTAGGCAAGTGCTTTATTTTAAAGTAGACAAATGCTGCTTATATGTGACATTGTCTCATGTATGTTCCATTTCATAGGGGAGAAAATGACAGAGGAGGAGGTGGAGATGCTCTTGGCAGGACACGAAGATGCAAATGGGTGCATCAATTATGAAGGTAACACATGAAATGCATGAGTATAGGTGACATTACTGCCCTTTTTTCTATAATTGGATCAGTGCTGTGTCACATTCCTTTTAAATATATACTCTCTCAAAGTGACATTGGATCTGTCCTATTTATTAAAACCGTGCTTCCCAAAGTTTGGTCCAGGGTGTCCTCATAAGAAAGTCAACGGGGCCACCAAAGATTGTCTTCATGACAAGTTATTTAGGATAAAGTCAACATATTTGGAAAACATCCCTACATAAATGCTTCTAATTGAATCAATAATATTGACTGCTAATTGATTGGAATTGATTGTCTTGTGCTATTCTCGATGTGTGGACATACAAATTTGACATGTATATTTTTAAACCGTTTTTTCCTTTTACAGCGTTTGTGCGTCACATCCTCTCAGGCTGAGGCTGGTATGGGATTTGGGTATATCATGAGTTGGTACTGCCAGGCTTTCCTACTTTTTATAGAACACACTACATGCATCACTCATCAGCCATGTTGACCTCTGCTTCTAAACATTGGCCGTAACTGGAATGGAAAGAGGAAAGCCTGGTGGTCTGTCCCCGTTAGTAGTGAGACTGTAGCCACATGTAGCCTCCCGCTCTGTTTCCTGCAGCCCTCTGCCCTGGCCCTTGGCTGCATGGCCTTCTGCATGTGTCGACGACCCCTTCGTTGAAAGAGGGGTTTTGGGCACAAAACAATGATATGGAACCCATCTGGTGTTCAGGGTCTAAGTTAGTGGGTCTTCACAGTGGTGTTCACAGGCAGCTCCTCTGACCTGTTTGCATGTTTGCATTTTAAGCTCTATTTTGGCCCTTTGTGCAAAGGAGATCTTGAGATCACACAACATATTTAACAATGGTCACCAGCTTTGGGAGAGGGACCAGGCTCTTTCTACTAACCAGAGAAGTGCAGTCTATGGCTGTCTTGCTGATTTCCCTCTCTGTACTGATGGAAGTTGAAAATGTAGGTGGATGCTCCTGGACTGTAGCCTCCCCTTGGTCTATCCCTCTTTTCTATGCTTTGTAAATAGACGAAAGCAGACAGAAAGGATTGCTTCGTTAACCAGCTTTGCTTGGATCATAGACGTGGCCAAATGCTTTGGCTGAACCTGTTAGATGATTCCCTCCTGTTTTCATTAGTAACCTCTTCAACCCTGCTGTCATCTGGCTCCTTGTGTTAGGAATAAGTCTTAATTTGTATCCTCTCTCTACTCTTTTCAGAACTGGTCAGGATGGTGATGAACGGCTGAAGTTGGGAAGAGTCTTACATTTTTAGTATTTCTTTGCATTTGACCTTTTATAAGTCACCACATGGACCCTTTAAACATTTCCAAATATTAATGTTTTCACTTAATTTAAGTGCCTTGACATTCCCTGAGTCACAAACGGACCTCACAAAATGCTCTGTGCTCGCTATTTTCAATAAAGAGGGCAGCACTTTCTACTACTCGACTTGTACAATTTCAATCACGTGCTGTAGTTATGACTACCTTTTGTGTAGTAGATCCTAGATCTATGAACAATAGCAGCTACCTGCCGTTTCAAAGACACCCATACAGAAAATTGTATAATTAATGTAAAAAAAAAAATCATCCTCATAATTCATTTCAAAATGATGTCCATGTTTTTAAGTCACCCCATATATTTTCTGCATTAAAATAAATGTGTTTTGAAAACCAACTGTTGAACTGTGTAACTTTTTAGCATTTTGTTTGTTGTACTCCTTGGTACCACAAGAGGCCGCCATTTACTTAAGGTTGTTTAGACATTGACTGAGAGCGCTTTATAATGACTCGAGCCAATACAACCAGTGTACATATAGACTGAATACAACAGTTATGTGTTGTGGCTACTGTAGTATAAGTTTACAATCCTTGAAGTTTCATGTTCAAATGTCTTTAATTTGATTAAAAAGCTATACACAAATGTTAAAAGAATTAGTGACTAACTGGTCATATGAGCAGTAAGAGGCTGTGTGGCGGCTCCCTGACCTTTTCCTTTTTACTCTCAACAGCCACAAATATTTCCCCTCATTAGACGGCGCAGCTATTGGTGTACAGGCTTATGTGTGGTAGGTTCAGGGGGTGTCATAGTCCAGTGCTGAATAGCTTGTCCACTAATTACTTGGTGTGTGTGTGCGTATGTGTGTATGTGTGTGGTCGATGGAAGTCAAGGCTATTGATTATTTTAATCCTCCTATTTGTGAGTCTGTGATCCTCGTGGCTCTGCATTCGACAGGGGAATCACTAATGGGCCTCAGCGCAGCCTGTCTCAGACCTCTCTCCGTCCAATTAACTTTCAACTGAAATCTGCCAAAGAGAGAGCAGAGAAGTGAGCCGGGGGCTGGGCCCTGTAGTAACATCCTCCTTGACCAGCAGCAACAGATAGGATATAGGAAGACCCTTAAACAAATACCTTATGTCCAAATTTATCCACACTAAATTCTTTGAAGTGTTTGTTCTCTCTTTTCATACCAGTATTCTAGCCTGTTTAAGACTGGGTTAGTCTTGTTTGTCCAAAATGGTATTTGCTGCTTGTGAATCATGAGATTAGTTCAATGTACTGCTTTTAATGTTTCTCTCTGACACGGTAAGGCATATTGGAAATCTATGACTGAGCAGCTACAGCCTGTACCCTGCTTCTGTCACTTCGATCCTGACCCAGTCTCAAACATTTTTCACTTTTCGTGGTCACTTCAAATGAAAGTGATTGGGATTGTCTGTCGAAGTCGCCTCCGATTCATACATGCCTTTATTTAGTGCGACCGTCAACAGAGCTGTGTCACAGAAAATACTGGATAGGGTATATTTTTAATATCAATATTATCTGTTCAATCTATTTAACATCTAAGATAGTCCATCTTTTGATAAACTGCTTACACACAATGACATGTAAAAATAAATGACAATGTGGCATTAGAAAATCCATCTATGAGGTATACAACATTTTTAACTAAAACAGGAGGTCACATCCACTCATTTTGTAAATACAAAAACAATTAAAAATGCACTTTGAAATATTGTACATTTGCAATTGCCATTCATAGAATAAGATTAAATAAATAAACATGAATCCCAGTAGCGATAAGGGCCATATACTGTCTGCATTTAATATCCATCTAACATTTTGCATAATAATTTGGCATTTATGTATGAAAGAAACATGGCAAGACAGTGTATGGATTTAGCTTACAATACAGTATGCCTTGGCTTCACCAATTTGATTAATGGTACTCTTGACACCATTATTGCATTAAACACAATTAGAATGCTTCTGCTCAATATGTTCTGATACAATGACATTTAATGTGAGAGACATTGATTCTTTTAAAGATATTTCAGAGCCACAACGTGTAGTCATTGTGTGCACCTACACTGTACAGATTCATACATTTAGATTCCGACTGGAGGTGCATTTCAAAGCAGTTTGGCTCAGTATGATTGGTCCTTTGTGATGTCTGCATGCATTGGTTTTGTTTTCAGGGCTTGCGGTCAGTCGGGATAGATGAGAAAGCCAGAGAAGGTGCTGTACTTGTTGGTATTGCCTCCATGCACTTTGCCCCCGTCGAGTTGGACACACACCTCGTCCCCCACGTCCAGATGCAGGATCACGCTATTGGACGCATAGTCGTAATTCTGATCAGCGTCCTGAGCGATGGCGCTGGCCCTCACCTGTGAGCGCACACAGACGCATTCACAATTAGTTCAAACACTTCCAAATGTCACACTCCAGAGCACTGATTACAGCCCAGAATACAAAATATATATATATATTATGTCTTTGTTGTTTTCCCTTGTCTTTCAATGCAATTATAATGTTGTTTCAAAATCCTATCAGCAGACATCAGCAATATAATGGATTTTTCAATGAACTCTACAACCTTTCTACAAAATATTTCCATTGATGACATTTTATTATGTGGCAAATTCACTTATATATTGTCTGCAATAGTCATAAAGATATTTCTGTCAAATTTCTTCATAAAAAATATGGAAAGTTGTGAAAATAATCTATCGGCTATTTTTTAGGCATTCCACCTGCGCCTTTTGTCTCACAACATATTATTCAATATTATTGTCCTTTGTACATTGTATGTGACTTACATAGAAATAGAAAATCAAACAGTCACTCATTTACTGTAACTGTGTACTAATGTAAAATGAGAAAGGACTTTGGAAAAATCACAAGTAATTATAGAGTTTTGTTTAAACTTGAGACACTCAAATAAAATAATAAAATTGCAAATTAATGATAAATATATATATATTTTTTAAATGGCATCAGCTCCAAGTGGCCCACCTCATCCATCCATAGATGCAGGAGTGTGTGACTTTTGGCCCCAGAGGTGGACTAAGAAACAGGGCCACTCCACCAGTTATTGATCTGCTATAGACAGGCTCAGAGCGGAGCAGCAGATGGGGATATGATTAGGATGTGCAGATAACCTCACTCACGGGGGAACACAGGTTTATCCATAAGGAGACCAGCTCAGGCCAGAGAAGCAGCCTTACTCTCCTCCAAAGCTATTGACCTGTTGCGTATGATCCTTGGCCGAACTCAATATGCATGATATTGAGTGGCCGGGCCTAAGCCAGACACTTCCATTTGCATGCGGCGTGCGAGCTGCGCCTTATTGACCCAGAAGCAGTGGATCTTTACTTGTTTGTTAACACATTTAATTGGGTTTACTCATTGGCAACATTTAAACACACATGCTTGCACTCAGTTACAGCTAAAACAAAAGCTCATTGTGCAAATATGGAAAAAAGTGGGAAGTTTGGGAACAAATGTAAAATGAGTAGCTATGAAAAGCAACAATTTTATGGTGGAGTGAGAAAATATTATGTTCTTTTGCTCTTTTATTTTGAGATGTGCCAGAATAGAGCTTTCTCTGTGCTTAGTTGTATATAAAAGGAAAAAAATCAGAAAATAACAATCTAATAGGTGTGAATAGAGTGACATTTGTCTGCTTTATGTTAATGTTGCATTCACTTCACACTGGAAAGTGACGAGTAACTTAGGAAATTGTCACACTTCCTTTTGAAGAATGAAATTGCCAACTTATCCCATAGATTTTGTAGATTATAGAAAACACATCTGATAATTCCCTTCAAAAAGTTGTCAAAAATCCATATTAGTAGTCACTGATTTGTCACACATTTGACTCCCAAAAAATCATGTATGATGTCGCAAAAATACATTGTGACAGCTTCTATATGTTGAAGAATAAAGAGGCCTGACATTTTATTGACCAAAAGACAATGACTCCCGTCCTGTCTGTATAGTTGTATCAATAATCCTGGAGAAGCAGTTGCTATAATGCGACACATGTCAGCCGTCAGTGGCCTTGTGACTGTCTCATTGTCCATCTGAGCTCGGGGCACTCAATCTCTGTCACCGTCCAGACAGGCTCCAGCGCCGCCATGACAGCCCCCAATCTGCAACTCAACTACCACCATGTCACCCCCATCACAGCAGCCTTTCTCCCCCATGAGCCCGTCTCATCTCAAAACTGCCAATCAACCACAACCAGTCAGCAATTAGCATAATAAAAGATATCCTCAATTCCCCATATGTGCACTGATCAATTTGGCACATCCATAATTTAGTTGTCAGCATATATCTCTAATGTCTTGCCAATTGTAGATGTAGGCTAAATCAAAAATTAGCTGTCACTATGATATTTGTATGCACATATTTTGTACAAATATGAAGATGTTTTATTGTTTAGTTATATGGACCCAACATTGCAATCAGCAATTCTTCCTGGGTTCTGTGTTCTCACCTGGGCTTGAAGCAATACTCTAACATTCAGGAAGTGGCAAATCACCTCCATTGCCAATTTTATAAAAAATATATGATTCAGTGCCCTGTCATTCTTCACATCCAAAAATAATAACAATTTTAGAAATGCTTTATAAAACATGGGTAGAACATGCAAACTCTGCTCAGAATGGCCCTGTGTCTCCTGCTGGTTGAGCCAAATTAACCAATACTATTTTATTAATTACTACTACTGACATAAAATATATTTATGGAGATCTGTGTACCATCTAAAATGTGATGTACTGTATATGGCAATAATTAGTTTCTAGCTCGCTGTCAGTCGTGCTCAGCACCAATCACACGTCCCATGTTCCCCTGCTAACGCACTGTGATTTAAAAATGGAAGAGCAGCAAAAGCGAACAACAGTTGGAGGTAGTCGAGAAGAGGAAGGAAAGTAGAGGACTGAAAAAACTCCACTGGCGCTGTGGCAAAATTGTCCTAAATTCCTTTGAACAATCCGTCCAAATATTTTCATTCTGTTTGCATTCAAGTAAAATACTTTAATATTGTGAATCCCCATAGAGCCGTCTTTCAAATCTTCTGTCATCTCTAAAGGTTATATTGTTGTTGTGCTTGACATGTGTCGTGACAGCCAATATCACATTTGCATCTTTGGCAGCTTCTGACAGTGATGCTGTTATTGTGACTGTGTATTGACACTGGGCATATGTCATCCTGCTCATTATTTTAACCAAACAGTGTAACAGAGGAGAGCTCCTCTCCATCTTGGCCATTCAACTCTGACCTCTTACATATAGATTTTTTAACAAGGGAATATTTATCACAGCTAGATTTTGAGCTTTGTGATACTGTTTTGCGATGTACAGCAGATAGAATAATTCTTTCCATCTATTAATGCAGATGGGAAACAGACTGGGATAAGGGCTCCATGGTTGGATTAGGAGGAGAAGGCGATGGATACGACAGGAGGACGCAGGCTGATCCGAGCGAACTGGCAGCACACTGCACTGATCCTGAGCCTGGCAGGGCTGTGAGGCGTGAGGCAGGGGCCCCAGGGGCTCGCCTGTGGCTGTCTATGTCTACGCCTAGCCCTTTCATTATAGGCCTCTACTAAACGCTCTTGGGAGCTGAGGAGATGGGGTGCAGTGTGTTGGGGGGCAGTGGCAGTGTCATTTACAACACAGCCGTGGCACACAAGACAGACAAGGGGAGACTATACGGAGGGAAAAAAACAAAAGCAAGGGCCAGAGGGCTAAGCAAAGAAACAGGAGGGGAGTGGAGGGAGAGAGACTGATCAAGCGAGGCTATTTTGTGAGAGCGTGGCGGGCGGGGGGTTTATAAAGTCCTGTTTTTATCTGTGCTGCTCTGTTCCACTGGTAATAAAAGTGACAGGATTCATTCACTGTGATATACTGACCTCTTAGAGCGGAGACAATAGAAAAGTAGCTGTTAAACTTACCTAGGGGACCCCAGCACACGGCACGAGGAAGGTTAGAGGAGTGGGGTTTAGGACGGAGATGTTGTGGAAATAGAATATTTATTGAATAGGTTTTCCCTTACCTCTGGGAGCCTGGGGATTACACAATGACAAGAGACTCTAGCAGTGAGCCATACCTTAGATTGCTATTACCTGCCTATCTGGATTACAGCCGGTCTACAACAGCCCCCGTCCTATGACAGCCCCCATCCTGTCCCCACGCCCAGATGAGTTAATGAGCCCTGGTTTGGTTTATCAGCAACAATATTTCTGCTTCATTAAATCTACAATTTACATTTGTGGTTTCTCACAAATTCTATTAGGTTTTTCTTCTATTAGGCTACTCAGTTTGTTTTTTTGGGTAAAGAACTGTATAACTTTTAATCTTAGACTTTTTCATGCTTCACTCGTTCTGGTTCTAATTTACCATTGAATTTAAAAAAAAATGAAAAAAGGCATTGCTACTGTTGGGTTTCTTATCCTTCACATATGAAACCGTCTTTCCGCTAGACTAACTTCACCCAACCTGTAGCCTTAAAGTTGCAGTAGAAAGTTAATACAGGTGAGGGTCATTACAGCAAGTGATGACATTTTAACAGTTCTGCGCGAAATAACGTTGACCTTTAGTGAGCTAGTATTAAAGGAGTCTATGGCAGGTGAAAAACAGAGGCGAGATTCAACCAAAGTGGAGCTGATATCAATTAGTCTACATTGCATTTGGTTTTAAATTAATTCAGACATACAGATGCAGATAATGCATTAGACAAGTACGCCATGCAAAGTCATTAATAAGACCAGGAGGAGTTAGAGTGCTTAAAAAGTCCTGCAAGATGTATTACCCTGTCTTTTCCAGCATAAAACACACTAGCATTAGCATACACAGACAGTCTTAATAACATTTGCGACAAAGGTTGAATATTAAGCAGCAACAACCTAAGCACCCGAGTTAAATCAATACTACATAATTATAGATACAATAGAAAAGCATCATCATGTACTGTACCTAAGATTATGAGATGAGATGAGTGAAAAGAACATGTTAAAAACCTGACTGGACAACATACATTGGCATACAAATAAATATGTATCACCATAGCAGTTCTCCCTCAATCAAAAGGTCATTGAAGTGAGGTGCTTTGGGCCGGTCAGCCTGCAGTGGTCGGGGGGATATATTGTGAATTGGTTAAACAGAGACTCTACGGATGCTCGGCTACGATCAAGATATAATCCGGATGAATCTACCACATATTATTCAGACTGTTCATATCAAAGATGCACTTGTTTAAGCTGATGCTCCTCATTTGGTAGAGCAGTGGTTTCCAAAGTTTCGTTCAACAGTGCTGTCAAGAAAAACAACTACTAAAACAGCGAGTAGTCTGCATTACCCATCTTGGTAAATGGGTAATGCAGAATCTGGCCTTCATGCTTTGGACTTTCTACCTCTGTTATATCTATATTACTGCTAAACATTATTATCTCAAGACTGAAAGTATTTGTTTGGATCCATATTGCTACTACATCTTAGGCATCTGTGTCATCAATAACTCAAGTGATGACTTCTCTGTTTTTATGCACATTGATACACATCATATAAAAACCTTTGTCTTCCCTCCTTTGATCTGGAAGAACTCGAAAATAAACCGGGTGCCAAGTGCGATCGCTCTTGCCTCTGTCTTTTTCTTGACAGTAAGTACATTTGCTTTCATTATTCTTGATTTGATGGCAGTGGCAGTGATAGTAGTATCTTGTTTTCAATTTGACATTTTTCCCCAATGCACTACAGTATAAGACCAATAAGAAAAAGATCACTGGTTCTATCCATCTACTTTTATTTTACTCTTTTACAACAACCTGCTCAGGGACTACAGGTGTAAATTAGCACTGCTGCTACAACCTGTTACAATGCATCTCTCTGCTTGGCTAAAGTTTATTGTGCACTGTCCCTGTAGGAAATCAAAACCATACCATACCAAATTCTATTAACCCACCTCGCTCAAAAATTCCAAAGCTGCACTGAGCCCTCACAGCTGTGGTAAAGTCAGTTCATTTGACTGGTGCGTAGATCTTTTACAGATCAGATTGTTCTTATTGTGTCTCTCCTGTCCTTGATAGCCTGTCAGAAGTGTGGAGTGGGGGTCCATTGGTCATTGGGCCTGATCTCATTCTGGCCTTCACAGCAGCCTCCCCAAAGCCTCGTCTGCCGGCCCACTGTCTCCACACCTCCATGAAGTCATCAGTCTTCCTCTGCTCCACCCTTTGAACCCACTTGTCTTGTCTATCTGCCTCTCCCACTGTCTTCAGTGCCTCAGCGCAGACGCCTCACCATGTTCCTGTCATGTTGATGCTTTAATGTTGTCAGAATACATATGCGGTAAATGGAAAGACAATATTACTATTCATTAGAACGCTGTAAAGCAGGTGTGTCCAAATATAGTCCACCGGCAAAATGTAATCCTCTAAGTATCTTATTGACCCACAGAAGTCCTGCAGAGAGAGGCCTGTTTTATGGACTTTATCAACATTTATGGTCATCTGCCTCTTATGAACCAATGGCTCTGTGTGTTTTTTTGCACTGCATTTCCACTGTTTGAACTGTTTGATTGTCTGATCTGTGTGGGCGAATCGACAACTTTGAAATTCCCCCGGGATTACTACTGTTGTAATTTAGGGCTGTACAAAAATACATTGAATTGAACTGTCATGATAGATGCTTTATTGACTTATGGTTCAATAACAAATGGATAAAACAATATATTATGCTTGGCCTAAATATTTTTCATCTGTAGAGTTCCTTACAAAAGTGGAGATATTTTTTACTATTTTCTTTGTTCAATGAGGTTCAATAAGGTTCGAGAAGATTAAACATTGCTTAGTTCTGCTGTTTTTTTTCCTTTCTAATACACAAATCAGAACATTGCTTTACTAGGATTATTTTTGCTGCACTGCATTCTCATCAGTGACATAAACCAGTTTCAACTAGTATTCTTGTTGATCCCAACCTTTTACTGAAACAATATATTGTCTATCACAATTACTTATTAGTCCGTTTTATGGCCATATATAATCTAACCATCCATTGTATTACCTTTCGTCAAAACCCAAAGCTCATGACCACAGGTGAGTCTGGTAACGTATAGAGCGGTAAATCGAGTAGTCTTTAGTTGTTTATTTGATTAATCTGTCCTTTGTTTTGACAGCTCACTCAAATGTGTATTAGTTGACTGATTTCTAGGTTGAAAACTACAAAAATGGCAGATAAATTGAAGATGTTGGTATTTACTTTGATATTGAAGCCTGATCACTAAATATTTCAGTGCTTATTTTTCCTAAATATGTTTTATAGTATTGTAAGTACAATTTGGGTCAGGAACGTAGAGATATTTAGAGCATTTGGCATTTGGTTACTTGTTTACTTGTTTTAGACCAAAGAATTTCTTTGGTCAACTACAGCCTCAAAATCAAGAGCCTAATCTAATCTATAAATAGTTATTGTTTGACCCCTTGGATTTTTAAGCGTGAAAAAAAAATCTGGTTTGCCCTGTTTAACCTGAGATAAATTCAACCTTTGAAACCATATTTTTTTCTATTACTCCACTTGGTCTGTATATAGGCATTTGGGCATGGATCTAAAAGTTTGGACACCCCCGCTGTAGAGAACATAGTTTTTATGTGTTTATTAAAGCCAAAAATCCCCAATGAGGGGTGCTATAAACTGTTGTTACAATTGACAAACAACAATACTGTCTGTAAAGTAAAGTATCTAGTCATTCAAAGGTTGACGTCTACAATGTCTGGTCATCTGCCACTTAAACTGCTATTGTTTGGGTCTCTTTTGATACAGTTAAATTGGTTACATAAACAAATACATTTATTCAAATCTAAGATGGTGAGGTTGGAAGCTACAGTATCTCTGTGGATGAAAGGTCTGGAAGTGCTGCTTCAAATGGCCTTGTACATTGTGTAAGAGTAATCAGAGAAGGTGGATTCTCCTTAAGGCTTTGAAGAAGAGGAAAAAACTCCCAGCTCAGACAAAATATCCAATAAAGCTTTATCACCTACGGCAATGGTAAAACAGGCTGTTTAATTTTGGAGTTAGCAATCCAGCTTGTCAGACATAGTGCCCATTTAGCAGACCCCAGCCACTGACTGGCCTCAGGCTGTGTACCCGTCTGCCTCAAGGCTTCAACACCTCTGCTGCATGATCCCACACTCCACGGGCAATTTATTTACACTCATTTTCATCTACCACACTCAGGTTAAGGACTCTCTGGTTAAGTGAGCGCTCGATTTAACCAAACTATTGAAGTGGTGACAGACAGACATGGGTGAGGTTAAATAATTGAGTTGAGTGAAAAGATAATTAATGGAGAATCAATGAACAAGCAGAATACGGGTGAGAGGAGGGAAGCCACTCTGCAGAGGATCTAATCTAAGATACGTAAATTATTAAAGAGTCTAAGATGGCTTGAATGACAATATGGACATTAAGCCCACAGCCTTTCACCTCTGTGGCCTTGTGCACATATAATAAAACAGCGCTGAATGATAAATGATTCTTAAAAATCTGCTCAAGTATAAATGTGCTCATAATTGTAAAGTCTTACTCAGCTATAATATTCAATGATAACAATGTTATAATAGTCTATCTGCACTCGGTTGTCTCTAATACAGTAATCTGATGTCTGAGAGGTGAGTATTTGCATTTAGCGTCCTTCATGAATGAATGAATGTGAAAAACAACTTGACGAAGGTTTCATGAATTTGGAGATCTCTGGTGAAATGTGTGTGATTTATCCCACCTTTTCTACTCCCCCACCTACCCCAGCCCCTGTGTCTTTAATTAGTGTCTTGGGAACGAAGGAGTGGATGAGTGGACTGTCAATTTTACATTCATTATTTATTTAGCTGAGGTGTAAACTGACTTGTCCGCATCCTGACAGAAATTTTTGCCGTGCTCTTTTGCCCTGCTGTTTAGGCGATAATCAAGCTCTGTGTATGATACTTACTAATTAGACTGTTCTCTTGACGCTGGCTGCTGCATTCTGCCACTTGTCATTTAGCTTTATTACATGTGGGAATGCAAATATCGAGGCTGTGATTTCAAACTATACCGCACAGATTCCTCCTAATGAGGAGGAAGATAGCTTTCATTCTTTTCCTGTGATTTTGACATGTGCTAAGTGGAATGTGTTCTGAATTGTGAAGGCTCAATTTTGCTGAGGTGACTGAGTCAAACACAGATGGTCACCAGTGAAGAAATGAGCGTGTGTGTGCATACATACAAACAGCACATATCAGACTGACCTGCCCGTTCTTCTTTAGGTCGGCCCACATGCTTGTGCCGTCCCCGCCTCTCATCAGGACGTGGTATGTGAAGAAGTAGATGCCAGGTAGTGGACATGTGAACTTCCCTGTGCTGGGCTCATAATAGTTTCCCACATTGGTGACCACATCATCAAACTTAAGTATTTCACTCCCTTCATGCTGTCTGCGCAGGCCTGCATAGAAGGCGATTTTAGGGGAGTATAGAGAGGGGGAATAGCCGCCTGGGCCTGGACCTGGGGGGCCCTGTGGTCCGGGTTTTCCAGGCTCTCCAGGGGGTCCTCGTGCTCCTGGAGGTCCGGGGATCCCTGGAGGCCCACGGAGACCAGACTTGAGCTTCTTTCCAGAGTAATCCTGTGACGGTGGGGACACAGCGATCAGCTCTTGGCCCGGCTGAGCAGTGGTGTCACATACCATTTTACAGGATTCAAGCATTTCATAATGGCTCCCAGCATTTCCAACACTCCCAACTTTGGTCGTGTGGACCAGCAGAGGAATGGCAACCAAAAGTACGAGAACCATGGCCACACCCACTGCAGCTCCAATCACACGTTTCCTACGGCTGAGCCGCGAGGCGGCCAGCGTCAGGAAGTCTTCTTCCCCCTTTGGTGGAATAGTGCCAGCCAGGGTGAAGTCTATGGGAGAAATTGTACAAGACTACAGAGGTGTGAAAAATTATAAAATCAAAAATCTCCAGATACGCGGATGGCTTTGAGAGCCTCCTGGATCATAGAATCCAGTAGAAATCAGAGTGAGATGAATGTCCAGTCAGTGGACCGAGTCGCTCAGAGGCACCTGGGTTAAAAATACAAAACAAAGAGAACATGTTTAGTTTATTACAGATTAAATTAGGTCATAAATGAATGAAACCATTGTTGATTTAATTTGTTGCTTACCTCTATCAGAATCACACTTCACAGTTTTATAAAAGGCATGGTGCCAGAGAAAAGCTGAAGAGGTGCTGAACAGGGGTTCAAACCTATGCCAATGAAATGTTCTATCGTTTAATCTCTTTTAGTAAAATCTTTTTCTCCTGAGTTTTCCTATATTCATTGTACTGGCCTTTTGGAGCACCATGACTGTTGGTCACACCTGTTATATCAAAGCTCCTCACTCTCCTCCTGCACCTCCTGTGGTTTGAAAATTCTCAAAAAGTGAATGGATCTGGAAAACAAACACAAAAGCTTAAAGTGGACTTTTTAGCGTGTGTATGATTATTCTACACTTCAGTAAGTGTAGAACTAGCAGTGAAGTAAGTCAATATTTGGGACTCATTAATGAAAAGCCAAGTTAAAAAGCTAAATAGCTAAATGACAATAGTATATTTTTTGAAGAGGTTACAAGGTATGAAAAGTGAAAAACCGCACAATAGCACTTACCATTATGTTGTCTTTACTTCATAGTAATGATGGCAGAATGGATGCATCGGTGCTCCTATCACTTTTGTCACTAAAACACCGCTCAAGTCTGTGCGCAAGAAGCAGAGAACCTGTGAGGAGTTTCAATCTGTGCCCGGGAGCGTAATCCTTCTTCTCTCTCTGCAGAAGCGGAATATGAAGATGGCACAGAGTTCTGAAAACAAGCCTCGTGCGTCTCCAAAGGCAGAACTCCGGTGAGCTCCGTGTGCGCTGCAGTCCGCTGCCGTCCGCTGCCTCCTCCCGCTCTGTGAGGCTCTGTGAGGCTCTGTGAGGCTCTGTGGGGCTCTGTGGGGCTCTGTGGGCTGCGCCAGCTACACCTGTTACACTGATCCCTCCCTCTTGGCGTGCATGGCGGCGAAGTTCCTTCTCTAAATTTTTTAAGTTGCAGATTTTACTAAATTATCCGCTTCATGCTTTAAAACAACAAACATCGCGTGAGATCATTTGTCAAAGTAATCTATAGCAGTTATCCTTTTGCATTTCCACCGACCTAAGTAAGTAATCTTTCTTTATAAAGTGCTTTTCACAGATCAGAGTCACAAGTCTAGACTGTAAAAATATTAGGAGGGCACTTGTCCTCTCACTCCACACATGTGAGCGGGACCTGCTTCAAAAGAATCCTGAAATGAGAGGTTCGCTACCTGCTGCTGCTTTTTACACGCAGTTTCACTTTATATATAGCCTCATGCTCCATATGACACGGTGTTAAAAAGGGCCTCGGCTATGCCCCCTAGTCCAACGTTTCAATGTTTTATAGTAGCTTTGTTTTAGCTGGATAAATGGGATATCTGTAATGGCGCCCCCTTCGTTATTCACCTGCAGGCCCGTCCTAAGGGCTGTGCGACCTGTGCCGTCGCACAGGGCCTCGCACCACACAGGGGCCTCGCAATCTTCCTTCCTTTTATTTTATTTTATAAATACACTAGTTCAAGGGTCCCCAAAGGGCAGACTGCACTCCAAATTTGGAACCCTAAACCCCTTTCTCTGGACCTCTTTGATTTCGTTTGATCAAAAGAACATTTTTACAAGTAAAGTCAAATTTTCACCAAAAGCGATTTGTAAACAGGCAGGCGCGCGGGCAGCTATGTATGCAACGGGTCCTCCGAAAAAACTGTCAGATAACTTTAGCAGTGTCTGAGTGAGATACAAAGAAAGTAACGGGAATGATCGCAGTGTAGGAGAGATGGATACTCGCGGAGGAGGAGCAGTGAGACAAGTGTGAGCAGAGGAGCAGACCCCTTTGTGTGAGCAGAGGAGGAGGAGGAGGATCAGCGGTGTGACAGGTGTGTGAGCGCTGCTATTGCCAATGTTTAGTCCGAATATCCACATCAAAAACATATTTTTAAAAGCATTAGCAAACACACTGTATGTCTAGCTTTAGCTAGCTGGAGTGTTTTTGTTGTGGTCAGAGTGTGTGGAGGAGGAGGTGAAGAGTATTTTGTTGTTGTCAGTGTGGAGGAGGAGGAGCGTATGTTGTCAGAGTGTGTGGAGGCATGGCAAAAACGTTATTTGATGAGAAAAAAATAATATTGACTCCAAAATCTAACTATTAGAAGAAAAAGACTCCTTTTGGTTCAATCTTTTGAGTTGCTCTACCATTTTGCCACAGGACGAAAGAGACATGTCAGCTAAAAAGACCGCGACCAATATTGCACGTAGAGTGTGTGTGCGTGTGTACGTGCGCGCGCCAAACGCTGCATAGGAGCGAAGACACTCGGTTACACGCGTGCTGATCTCGTCAAGCACCGCGCGAGGTGGTGCTGAATTCATGTCAAAGATTATAACAGGAAAAACTTTCCTCAGATCTGGGAAAAAAGTGTCAGGGCAGGGCCTCGCGTTTCGAGTTCGCACAGGGCCTCGCACCCCCCTTGGGACGGGCCTGTTCACCTGTTACAGGATTCAATAATAAGGTCTGATAAAAACTTGCAAAAGCCAGACAGATGTTTTCATCTTGTGCTTTGGCTGAGACGCCTGCAGACAGAGGCCGTGTGTGTGATGGTGAGGGATGGAGAGGAGACACTAAACGCTCCCCAGACCATTCCCGTGCGCACGCTGCCTGTGTGTGTGACTCGCATCCCACTGTTATAAAGGCTCATTAGTGAGACAGCGCTCCACACCACACTGCCCCTCTCCCCATGTCTCCCCCATGCCTCTCCACAGCTCTGGTGTCAAAGTCACACTGATCAAGGACCACGTGCGTAAATAAGGCTCGCATCAAGGGCCCATTCATTAGGAATATCATTATTTTTTAAACCTGATTATCAATAGACCTGTTCAATTTTGATTGGATGAAAAAGGGATTTGCATGACAACTTAAACTAAAAAGACAAAAACATCTAACAAGATCTACAAGTTAACATGACTTGACCAAAATTCAAGTCTTTCATCTTCTTGCTCACATTCATCCTAATTTTTCCAGCCGTGGTCAAATTAAATAGTATTATCTCCTATTGTCACGATAATATTTAAGACTAATAATATTTCCAATATCTTCCATGGTGTCAAAGAATCCCACTTGTTTCATCTTTCCTCCTGGGGTTTGTATCAGCTGTCTGACAGGTATAATGGCCGTTATGTGAGTTTAAAGTTTAATGTTGGGGGCAGGGGGGCCGAGGGGAATAGGTCCACATTCAGTATTGATGACAACCACCCTTTTCATCAGTCTGTCCCTCCTCGACCTCCCCTCTCCTCTGCAACAGTCACACTGTCCGCAAATAGGGATCATTCAGCTCATCCCTCCAGACATTGTGAGTTTTACAGCAGTTTTCCAAGGACGACCAGGATTAGCTGGGAAATTGAGGCTGAGGTGTAGCTTGTGATGTTCCTGGAAGGGTTATCCCAAGCTGGGCAGGGGGCTGTGAGTTTTGGAGGTAAATGCTGCGTTAGTTTTGGGGCTATGGACAGAGCGGCTAGACTGCAAGCAGGACAGATAATCATTGCCAACAGCAGCTATGTGGCAGGATTGGATTGGAAAGACTATGGAAATATTATGGAGGTGATTAAAAACATATTCATGAAGATCTATTGGTTGCATCACTGTTTGTCACTGACCCACCTGTAGCATATTGTTAATGTTGCTAATTTGTTGAATGTTGATATATGCTTTTCAATCATATTTACAGAAACTTCACATTACCGTCTATACTTTCATTAAATAAGTAGGAAAATCATAAAGAAGTCATTTTACTATAATTCGACTTACAGTGTGAAAATAATTCCTTATTTTCTGAGTTTCACTTGTATAATTGACCACCATTTGTAATAATGCATTGATTTTATGTAGCGTTTTTCAATGACACTTCACATGGCATTATTCATTCTTTTCGTTTAGGGTGGCGGTTAACTACTTCTGCCCTGAGGCAGACTGACAGAAGCAAGGCTGCAAAGTTGAGCCTTTGGCCCCACCGACCACATTTATTCTTTCAAACAATGTGGGTGAAGTGTCTTCACACAATATTAGTTTGGCACTTTTCAGCTGTCCCACTGTGGCATCAGTTTCCATCAATCTCCCATCACAGTACTAACCAGGCCATGCTCTGCTTAGCAGAATTACATATGACAGGATCAGACTTCCACATGACTGTATGACAGTAATACCACGATTATAGTATAGTTTATTGTTCATTACACTGGGTGTTCAGTGAACATATCTATTGTATGTACTGCAGTAGTCACCAAGAAGCTGAGACAATCACAGTTAACAATGTTAGGAGCCCAGAAAGATGAAGACACATGGGCCCCCAGAGGCTCGGCTCTTGGGGCCCACGCTCCCAGGGGCCTCAACGCTTTCCACTTCTACTAATTTGGCACTGACACTGTACTGTCGCCATTACTACAGAGGTCATCAAGGCCACCAAGAGGTGATGTGAGTAGAGAGTGGATAGAAAAGAAAGGTCAATTTTACAAAGATTATATAATAAGTAATCACTAATGTAATCACTGTATTAACTGATCAGGAGTGAAGATCTTGCCCATGGGTTCAGAAACATATGCTTAACTTATTTCAAGATTTCTAAAGTGCTGAGTTCTGAAAATCTATGGATGTAATTTTTCCCAGTATGAAAATATTCCATAATAAGACCATTGGGAGAAAAGCCGTCTTACTGTTCCTGAGACACTTTCTAAATGATCGAAAAACTGTTCAATTTTCTGAATCCTTTTTCTGAAGCATTCCTATTGTCATGTCCCCGTTGCAGAAATCTTGCACTCTGTCTGAGTTTCCGTGTAGAAGTGTGTGCATTGGTAATCCCGGTGTGTTCAGGTGGATATGTCTACATCCTGGCGTTGTGCTGTTTCATTAGGCTCTGATTATCGGGCCTGATGCAGAGTGACAGAGCGCAGATTGAGTTGCACAGCCACTCTAATTCTCTCTATTAATAACAACCCTCCACACTGCCGTCCCAAACCACATTTATTAATCACAATTTGTCATGTGTCCGACGCTCCGCCCTCTTTTTCTCCTATTTTCTCAGCACCCCCCTTCTCCCCACTCGGCCAGTTATCCCACTCCCTCCGCACCCCCCACAGCTCTGTCTGCGCACAGACATGGTCCAGCATACACAAGGATGGATCCTCTCTCGCTCTCTCTCTCGCTTCGTAGGCTCGATGAAATTAATCAGGAGGTCTCCAACCCTAATTGGCTAAGTAACAGTTAACAACTTCAAACAATGTGGGCCGATAGCTGCTTTCACTGGCAACCATAATAAATTACAATAAAACAAATCCTTATTTTCAATTACTGTTTATCTATAATGTTTATGCAGCTTTTTAATGCACCAGTTGGATCTTCATAGGGCTGTAAATCATTTAACAGCCTCAAATGAATATGATTTCTCAGTTCTAACCCTAACCCAAATATCATACCAAGATATATAAATAATGATGTACGTGTGTTTTCTCCCCAATATAACTAAACCCTATGAAATGTAGAGTCCATTTAAATTCGTGAAGTGGAAGCACACAGTTGCTTTTGGATGTCATTGATTTTTTGTTGCATTAATCCAGCCTCCTGGAGTTTCTATGATGCCAACACAAAATCCTGACACTTAATCGATGTGTATGCTGGAATATCTGTAGTAGTATTGCATTATTCGTGAAAAAATAAAATCACATTTCTGCTCATGTCTTAGTCAAATGGCCCTTGACCCCACTTAGAAAGATGATTTATGAGAGTCCAGGTCCCACAGGCCTGACTGCCACTGCGCCACTCAACTCCTGTTTGTGCTCATTATATCGACACTTTTGGGATAGTCATTTCAACTTCAGATCACACAACTTCTCTCTGCAGCGAGAAGTCTCTTTGTACACACTGTTCAAATTTTTGATGCATTACTTGACTTTGAGGAATACGAAAACCCAAAATATATGTAATAGTACTGTGTAAACTTCCTTGATTGACTGAATGCACAGGTGAAACTTGGAAAATGTCATTCAAAAGTAGATTTATTTCTTTAGTTCAACTGTTGAACAAAAGAAATGTGAAACCAATACATGGTTTACAAAGTGACATATGCCAAGCCTCTATTTGTTAACATTTTTATGATTATTAGTCTGTTTTTTAAATATTTGTCGGTTTCCTCTGGGTGCTCCAGTTTCCCTACCACAAACAACATGGACAACAGATGGAAATTAGCTACAAAAAGCTAGAATCTGGTGTATTCACAATGACTATACTGTCCATTAATACACACTGTCCCATCCAAATGAATACATAATATGGTATATACTTTGAATTACAGAAGTAAATGGACATTTTAGTTATATCCAAATTTTCTGAGTTTCACCTTTATATATTTTGTAATGGCCAGTGCCGGTCCAATAGTCTTCAGGGCCCAGTCCACAGCAACTCACTCTGACAGATGAGTTAGAATAAATCCAGTGTTAGAGGAATGTTGAGAGAGAAACAATTCAAACGTAAACCTTAAACTTTATCATAAGATTTTGATTTTATCCAGCTGGCTAAAGTACCATTTTTTATCTTTCGTTTGGCTTTGTTTCTCCTTTCCTCTTGGGGGTCCTTCAGTGACCTTGGGAGACTAGGCAATTGTTTATTCTGCATAAAGGGCTGTCCCTTGTTATGGCTTTTTGAGTGACATTACAAGATTGTAAAAGGAATACAAAATATGAATTATGAATTATGTATCTCCAAGAAACCTTGTCTGAACACTTTAAACAAAGGAATATGGTCAAGCCATAATGCAGTTAATCTCTTAAACTGCATTATGCTAATCAATTATCCAAGAAAATATCAAATAGCCAATCATTGGTAATGGGAAAAAGTTTATACCTGTTAATCTTTTTTGTTGTGCCGCATAATTCTGAAAAATTTAAATGAATAGTAGATGGTAAAATGTTGAAATGCCCCCCTGGTCTTCAGCGGCCCTTCCTCTCGCACAGGTCCCTGTACAGTATTAGTTAAGCAGAAGTGGTGTTTTGGGGGATGATTTTCATCTGCAAATGCCAGTCAGTCAGCTCCCAGCAATCACAAGCCCACCTCCTCCAGAGATTGTGCGCTGGAGACACAGGCTGCATAATTTAACAGCTCTGAGCCGTCGCGTTTAAGGGTCGCAACCTCCTAAAGCGATGACAGAAAGACGTTGGCAGACTCCCCCCTCCCGGTACACTTCCCATTACCACTTATTTACTCGTCCCAATTCCTGGCAGATAAAGCAGGAAGTTCACATACAATATGCCGAGGCGGTGTATATAAACTGTGCTGTAAAGCTGTGCACAACTAAACAATGACATTTTAGGAGCATCTCCCAAGACAGTGCAGCGATCTTTGGCTGAAATAAATACACACATGAGACTGAGGAACGCTCATAGAAAGACTGGCTGTGGGCAGATGTCAAAAAACCTGTATATACAGTATATATTTGTATATTTGTATATATTTTGATCACTGCAGGTGGAGTGAAGATGTGAAGAACTCTCCAGATGTCGATCTTTGTCAGGATCTTTGAAACATGCAAACTCCACAGAAAGGCCCGGGCTGGCATGGGATAAAACCCACAACCTTCTTGCCTCAAGGCAGGTAGGTGTTCAAGATGTGTTTTGTCTTTTCATAATCAATGATCTGATGGATAATTGTACCAGGAGCCCATGAGTTTCAATGAGTTCAGCAGTGTCCTCAGAATCGAGCAGGGGTGTCAAACCCATTTTGGTCCAAAAGCTGTTTTCTTAGTCATTGTTTGAAGCTCATCTTTTGTTTTTTATTATAATTTTACATCATGAAGGTATTTTGACAATTGGATTGGACTGATAAATTAAAACATTTAAAAATATGTTTAACTATTTCTAATGTCATGTTGGGTTAGAAATTAGTATAACACGCCAAAGTAGCCCATAACTTTCAGGGGGCTAACCATGTACTGCTTAATATTACTACTACCATATAAGATCATATACTACCGTATGCTACCTTACATACCAAATACTAACGCATACTGGTGCTCATATCTTATTATAGACCTCAGAGTGAAATCAATTGATCCATCCTTATGAACACGTTGCCCATTTCTATCGTTCACTCAGATAGACTGACAGACAGAGGTGGGTCTGACATCTCTGGTCATCACTCGTTCACTGCTGAGCTCTGACAGAAACATGACGAGGATGAATGGAGTGTCCGCTGTCCAGAGCCAGACACATGCTGCTGAGAAACGCTACATTTATCTGATTCATCATGTCTCTCAGTTAAAAGTCCTACACGCTACAGCTAGGAGTTAGCATGCAATAATGTATGTGTATGTTGTAATGTCGTTCTCCCTTCGCCCCTGCCATTCGCTCTTATGTTGAACAGCCCTGAATAGTCATTTCCTCATGGGTCATTAAAACCACACAATTTTCCATTTTATGGACGAGCGGACCCAGAGTAGGTCTGCGAAGTCTGGAAGTGTCTTTAAGATCTGTGTTTGTAATATGCTATTGTCGTTCTGGATTATGTAGAATATGAATATTTAGATATGTAGATATGTGAATATTTTTAATGCAAATGCCAATTACACCTGCCCCCACAGCTTTCTGATTGGACACATTGAATTCAAATCCTTGATAGACTGCTGAGGCTCCTCGCCATTGGTCTTTTGTACTGATGATGTCATGGCACGGGAAGGGATTGCTTTAATATATGATTTATGAAATTTAGTCATCATACATGTATTATGCACATACTGTATTCCTATATACATTTTATACAATTGATGTTGCAGAGGTCACCTCTAAAGAATTTGTAAATATTACTGGAATGTCAGAAAACAGTAGCAAATTGTGGATCAGTTGGATGTTCCCATGGAGATGTCAAGAGTGATCGCCTATTAGTCCGGCCAGTCACATGCAGTGCTTGCCAAGACACATAGAGGAATGAAAGCTCTATCGTTACCTCTGCCCCTCTCCCCTCTCTAACCTGTTGTTATGCTCCAAAGCCTACAGCCAGTCGCTGCACCGGTCAAAATGCATCTCCACAGAGTGTCATGGAGCAGATGGCGTGAGCCGGTGTTACAGTGAAATGTGTTACAAGGGCAAACAGGACAGCAGTGATTTCTTTAAATTATTAAGTGTGATTATTTGGTGACTTATGGTAGGAGGCTGACAGAGCGACCATGATGGATTGCCACAAACACGATTTACACATTCTCATTTCTCTGACGTCAATTTGTCTAGCTTTCTCCGCCTGACCACCCCTTCTGTGGCACATCCGCTGCACTCTCCTTGCTACAACTTCTCAGTCACCTCTGCTGTGTCCTCAGAAATCTTACTGTCCAATTAGTTTTTAAAGTTGTCACCTCTTACCTGTCGTAAAGAAGAGAAGTGTTTGGGGAAAGATAGAAAGAAGGAATCAGTGGATAAATCACTACTTTTAACAAAGTGTAGTAACTTCATTGATATAAAGTGCATTTGAAGAACTATATAGAAGTGTATGGAAAGATTTGTTTTTCTTTATTTATGTATCTTTAAAACGATTCAGATGGATCAGAACCAAGCCCCAATGGGGCCTGTTGTATGTAAGTAAATAACAATAGAGTCAACGCAGTCCTCGACTCTATTGTCTGAGATTTACAGCAAGATATAGCATGACTGTATTGGTGGAGCAGAAGTTGGTTGGATGACACTGTCAAAGGGCCTCAATGGTGACTTTTTGTTAGCAGCAGAGGGCCACATAAAATGGCCCAGAGGGCCGCAATTGGCCCGGGGGCCTGAGTTTGGACATGCCTGGAGTAAGACAAAGTGGGCATGGCTGATGCCAGTAGGTTCGACAACCTCAACCACTGGCCTGAAACAGCGGTAGCAAGTACAAGTACAAGCGATGCAAGTTCTGTGAGAAATGTGTTGTGCCGCTACAAGTGGAGTATCATACCGCGTGAGTGTGTGTATACGGCAGAATACATTTATATAACATGGATATCTATAGTACACTTTCTTGAAATTACCCTTGGCATCAGTCCTTGTTATTTGTTTGCTGTTGGGAAAAAGAAAAGCAATAGAAAGTACTTGTAGGCTAATGCTATTTTTTTTGCCGTCTTTTTGGATTGCCAATAGGAAATTTCCCTTTTTGATAA